CTTGTGGGTGGCTGGGCACGTTTCCTGTCCCTGCCTTCGCCTCCCAGTGTGGGAAGTTCATTCCCTTCTGAAAAAGAATGATAAAGGAAATCTGTCTTTTCTGGACCGTCTACGGCAGGACTGCTTGGTGGTCGTGGTGGTGGGAGCCTTGTGTTAAAGGGGCTTGGGCCACAATGCAAATTTCAGGGTCCCACTCCTGATTTTGTGGGTCTGAGCTTCTGGGCAGCGGAGTCCAGTCATCTGCCTAATTAGTCATCTGCTGGAAGTAGGTCACCGACAGGGACCTGCCAGCGGCATCTGCTGGATTTAGAAGAGGATGTGGGACAAGGGTAAGGTGACCAGACGTCCCGCTTTTGGCGGGACAGTCCCGATTTTTAACAATTTTTCCCATGTTCCGCGGCAGTTTTTAAAAGTCCGGATTTTTGAAAAGAATGCATGACAAGCTAGGGTATACGGTTTTGGGCTGCCATCTGGCTATTTCGCCAGGATAGGAGTTTTATCAATGGTGTTCCGCTTTACCAATGTTAAAATCTGGTCACCTTAGACAAGGGACATCACTGCTGGTATCAGATCGATCTTGGCTGAAAGCAGAGGACACCAGAAAAATATTTACTTGTATTTTATTGACTAGGCAAAGATTCAGCTGTGTGGGTCAGAACCAGTGATGGATAACATTGGGAAGAAGGGGAATTCCAGGATACTTCGCCGTGCTTGTGTGGAACCTATACTCGGACAAAGAGGTAGTCATTCAGACGGAACTAGGGGAAAGTATGTGTCTCGGGGTTCGATCCTCTCACCAGACTTATTCAATCTGCATGCTGAGCAAGGAGCCCCAGACACTGGACTGTCGGAAGAGGAATGCAGTGTCAGGACTGGAGGGGGATTTGTGAGCAATCTGAACTATGTAGGCGACACAACCGTCAAGGCTGAAAGTCAGGAGGACGTGAAGCCCTTGGTGAGGAAGAGCAAAGCCGGCAGCCGGCAGCTGGGGCACACCGCAGCATCACGAAAACAGAGACCCTCCCAACCGGACCAGCAAGAACGTCAGGACAAATGAAGACAAGTGGACAAGGAGTTCACTCGAATCCACAATCAATGCTCATGGAAGCCGCAGTCAAGAGATCAAATGACATATTGTCCCGGGGAAATAGGCCACAAAGCCCATCCTGAAAGTAATCAAAAGCACGGATGTCACTTTAAGGACTAAAGCATACCTTTAGTATGTTATTTTCAATATGTATGTTGGTGAACGCGGACAGGGAGTAAGGGAGATCTCGGAAGAAGTGATGCCTTTGAATGATGGTGTTGGTCAAGAATATGAAACGTGCCATGAGGTGCCAGAGGAGGACCAAGTTCGTCTTGGAAGAAGTACAGCCAGATGCTCTTGAGAATGGAGGAGGGAGAGACTTTGTTTCTCATGGTGGGAACATTGTATCAGGAAGGGGCAGTCATGGAGAAGTGTGGGGTACCAGCTTCCACAATTGAAAGGGCCCAAGGGGCAATTGTGTAATTGAGGGGTAAAATTAAAGACATCAGGCAAGATAAAGCAAGTGAATGCTCACCGCTGGGACCGCCATGACTTCAGGAGCCAGATCCACACACAGAGAGAGAATATATTTCTAACCAAGGCTTCTATACACTCAGGGGGCATGCAAGCCCCCCGAATTATAGGTCACCACATACATAACAGGAAGGGGTTGTCCAATAGGCATATGTGTAACAGGAGAGGGACGAGCTAAGGGTATACACGCAACAGGAGAGGGAAGCAGTTCGGCAAACATGGGACAGGAAGGCATGCAGGTAACAAGACGGGCGGGCTCTAGAGTCAAGGTGGCAGCCTAACCTTGGTCGTCCCTGAGTTGGCTTGACCTTAGACATTGGGCTCTCCTTCAGGGGAACACTCCATTATCCTTATCAGAAGGGAGTGGGCCCTACTTAGGGTGGGACAGACTATAGGGTCTGACTGCTCTAGATGGTTGATATCCTTCAGGAAGATAACCTTTAAGCAGTTGACCTCCAAGTGGACAGTCATTGACCGTGTGTTAGCAAGCAGCACCTTAGGGCTGGCATATATTGGGGGGACAACCTGGGGAATAACGTTTCTGTTTCCCACAGCAAAGTCCATCATGGTTGCTAACGTGGCAAGTCAGTGAAAAAGAGGAAGACCCTGAAGGAGATGGACTGACACAGTGGATGCAACAATGAGGTCAAGTACAAAAACAATTAGGAGGCCGGCCAGGCCTAGGCAGTATTTGGTCTGTCAGATAGAGGGTCGCTGAGTCGGGTTCTACCTGCCTGCACCTGACAACAATTGCCCTCCCCTAAGGTAGCCCTTTAGTTCAATTAAAATCGGCAACGTTTGTCCATTGAGAAGAAATCGTGCATCCAAGCTGGTGTTTGGAAGAAGGTTCTAGTAGGGGCAGGGCACAGTAGGCCCTGGGCCCCAGGGAGGAAGGGCTTGCTGCCCAGCTGCAGGGCATGCAGTCAGCAACCCACGTGTCCTCTCAGCTCCTGCAGGGTCAGTGGAGAGCTGCCTCGCAAGGCCATGGCCACACACAGTGACTGACCACCTGGCTATCGCATCGCTGTGTGCTATGGAAGTGATTCAGACTCACATCAACTCTCTAGGACAGACAGACTACCCCAGAGGTTAAGCGCTTGGCTGCCAACCCAAAGGTTGGTGCTTGAAGCCCACACAACCACTCCATAAGATCAGGTGACAGTGACCAATCTAAAACCCAAGCTCACTGCCATGGAGTCGATACTGAGCCCTAGTGCCCCTATAGGACAGGGTAGAACTGCCCCTGTAGGTTTCCAAGACTATAACTCTTTACCAGAGTAGAAAGACCCACCTTTCTCCTGGGGAGCAAATGGTGGTTTTGAACTGTCGACCTCACAGTTATCGGTCCAATGGGCAACCATGATGTCAACAGGTTCCTCCTGGAAAGATGACAGTGAAGCAAGCCCTGGGGGCATCCAACTGTCACCCAGGTTTGCTATGAATTGACAGCAAGTAGACAGCACCTAACATCAATTGGCCTATTCTTCTGACGCTAGCTCTGCGTCCAGAGTCTTGGAACGCATCAACCCCAGAGGTCGGGGGACCACATATGCGCCTCCAAAGCAGGACATTTTTTGAGACGGAACTTTAAAACGGAATAAGCATTAGCAAATAACAGGAAGCCAGGACCGTCCTGGCCTGCAGCAAGGCTGTCACAGCGTGTCCTCACTCGGGGCCACTCCCAGCGCCATCCTCCTGACCTTGAGAAGGAGGAAGTAAGGAATTGTCCCTGTTTTGATTTCCGGCGAGTTTGCAGTGGCTTCTGATCCTGGGACCTCTGGCTGGATTAGCTTCTGGGAGGCAATGACCCACCTTCCAGAGCCCAGGCACCTGCGCAGGGACAAGGGAAACTTCGTTCTCGACCTGTGCATCATGACCCCTTGGGAGTGGAATGACCCTTTCACAGGGGTTGCCTGATTCATAACAGTAGCAAAATGACAGTGATGAAGTAGCAACGGAAATAATATTATGGTTGGGGGGGTCACCACCACATGAGGAACTGTATGAAAGGGTCGCGACATTAGGAAGTTGGAGAACCACTGCTCTCAGGCCTTTCCTCGGCGCAGCGAGCGATCTCCCAGGCACCGTGGAATAGAGAGGGCCTGCCCACACAAACTCGGGTGACTCTCCCTGAACAAGACATCCTCAAGCCTGAAGCGCTAACAGAAAAGCTTGGGGGCGCAGTCCGTCCAATTTCCTCCCGAGCAGACTTGTACAAAGAACGTGTTCTGCTCTCTCTCAGAACACTTCCTCTTGGAGCGAGTCCCCGGGGCCCCATGGGCTGGTGAGAACAGGCCCGGGTCAAGCCGGGTTGAAAACCACAAAGACTGAAAACTGGAATCCATTGTGAAGAGGCTTCCTGACATTCCAATGGGG